TGGATGGATGGATGGATGGATGGATGGATGGATGGAAGGAAGGAATAAAAATTATAAAAAGAAAACAGGCTCCTTTAAAGCAGAACTCTAAGAAGTAAGGTTAAAAGTAAAACACCCACACCTGCCTCCACCCTCATTTGCTCCACTCTGGGCCCCTGAGCAAGGCCCTTAACCTCAACCATCTGCTCCCAAAATGAGTTCTTGTGACTCAATGAGACTACCTGTATAAATAAAGGGTAAATAATAAAAAAAAAAAAAACATGACTGTCAACATTAAAACCAGTTTGTTGGAAAGTGTGTGGACGTCTACAAATTCTCAGAATTGTCTTGTTTAACTTTTATAAGTTAAAGGAAATACATGTGAATGTGTGTTTTTGTGTCCACTGAAAGCATTTAGTTTTGGAGTTATTGTTTAAATGTTTTCAATTTGTTATGATACTGACCGTCACTTACCTATTAGCAATAATCAATAATCTTCAAAATTTCACAGCCAACAGTGTTTCTTTTTGGGTAAACTATGTCGAAAAAAGCTTTGATCTTAAAGGGCACGTGCCATCGTAAAAAAGCTGTTGTTTTGTTTGAACTAATATGATAGATTTTTGTCAGTTAAATTCATTGGTATAAAATACAATAAAATATGTTGGGGAAAAAAAAATGCAACAGCATCAAGGACTCCAGTAATAAATTTTTATCCAAAGAGAAATGTAGATGACTGCTGTAATTTACACACTGGCTTGTTTTGTTTTGTAGGTTTTATTACTTTTCATCAGTTTGGGACTCTAAAACACGAGAAAGCTGTAAATCGTGTTTTATATCCTTAGTCGTTATTTCTGCACTACCGTGTGCGTGGCTGGGTGTCACATTAAACCAACTACCAACTGAGAGCTGACCTTTAGCTGCTGAGAACAAAGTATCAACAGGCAAAGCTGAAACCGTTTTCATCAAACAGAGTTATAGATGTCTCCATTAGTTAAAAACATCTTGCACCAGATGAAACCAAAAGCATTTTTATTGTGTTTTTTACACTCATCTTTACAGAGGAAAGCTCAAGTTATACATGATCACAATCCTGGGCAAAACCGCTAATATTCTTTCAACACTAAACCGCTCCGGAGCCTCTTCGAAATAAAGCGATGACATCATTTTACCGTGACACATTATCAGGGACTCATGCTGACGACAAAAGCCTAGCCTTGGATGTGAAAATTACTTTGTAACAGAAAAACTAAAGTAATCTCTGCCATGCAACGCTTCATGTTTTTACAATATCCAACAGTATCCAACAAAAATCTGTTGATTTTTTATATATATTTACATTAACTTACATTTTCAATAGCTCTGTTTTTATCAACAACATTTACAAAGCAGAGGAGGAAGTAAAAGTCCTCTTTGCTACCTAGTTCCAAACTGTCACGTGTTTTTAGTCACGTCACATTAATTTTTTTTTAATTTGTTTGGCTTTACAGCGTAATCAGCACAGATGTGACTCGCAAATATACAAATGATGTTTTTCTGTACAGGGCCAAACAATCAGAACACGAGGCAGTAGCTCCTCCATAGCCTGGGACTTACGGATGGCTTATCACATTATGTTGAGGTTACGTATTGAGCCGTGTATTCAGAAGCTCCGATGATTGTGTTCAGTTAGTTATTGGCAAGTTGACAGCTACCATGTTAGAAGACATTTATCAACAAGGCAGGCAGACAGGCTCGAACCTATCTGCGCTAAGATAAGAAGCATATAGCAACTGATGAGCTGCACAGAGACTAAAATCATACCATGAACAGTCCATGATTTCCTGCTTAACTGGAAAAGAATCTACTCAGATGTTTAGCATTGATGTGCTGGGTCTCTGCTTAGTGTCTGGCGCAGGGCTCGGAGTTTAGGAGTTCAGACAACGGACCCCTTAGAGGAAGACAAGTGGATGGACTGGATGCGAATGGCCAGCGTTCTCTCCAAGGCCTGCAGGATGTCGGAGCCGGGGCTTTCAGGAGGCGCATCGTACAGCAGCTGTTTGAACGGCTCCAGCTCGATCAGGATCACCATGTTCTTCAGGAAGTAGCCCTCGATGTAGGAGGCCAGGTCTGGAGCATCCAGGAACTGTGAAGAAGGGGCGGTGTGACAAAACTTTATGTATTTCAAACTATAAAAAATGTATTAAAATATCCCATTTTACTATTGTCTGTGCTCAATTTGTCTTTCTCATTTCATACGTTTACCTTTGTGTGGTTGTAGATCTCGATACACGTTTCTGTGTTTATGTTCTTGGAGCAGATCAGCTCACAGTGTCTCTGCAACGCTTCCAGCTGGAAGAACTTGGCTGCTGACAGGAGCTGGGGGAAAAAAGCCAATTAATTAAAGCTGATTTCATTTTATCTTAATTTGTTTTTACAAGATTTTAAGACTATATTTGTGATTGACTGATTGATTGATATGGTTGCATCAGTTGAGATCAAGACCTCATTCACAAGGGTGAGCTGGCCAAGAAAAGGCAGCAGCGCACGTCATAAAAACAAGACCAGTAACAAGATACAGAATAAGACTTCAGAAATATATAAAAACATACAATATACCCGTAAAGGGCAATAGTTGTAATAATCATAATTTAAAACAATGGCAATTTAAGATCTGAAACACAGGCGCTGTTGACAAGATAACCATTGTCGTTTATTTTTTTTAAGTTTGCAAAAAGCACTTAACAAGTTCTGACAGTTTTAATTCAGCTTGCAAGGCATTCCAAGCTGAGGGGGCTGAACAGCTAAAAGCTTTCTTGCCATTTTCTGTATTTTTCATAATACATCAGAACAGTACACTATAAAGGCCAAAATTTGACTTTTTTTTATGTTACTCTTGTACTCTTTTTATTTATTTTTTTAAACCAAAACCTTATTTTGGGGTTTTTTATTGAGAAAGTATCCAGGGGAGTGGTGGGGAGAAGCTAAAGAAAGAGAGCCTGTGATCAGAAGGTTGTTGGTTCGAATCCCCTTGATCATAACATAAATTTGAGTGGGAAAAGTGAAGCAGCCACACCTGCCTGCACTCTTACTCTGGGCCCTTGAGCAAGGCCCTTAACCACCATCTGCTCCCCCTGGTGCCCTAGATGACAGCCCTCTGCTTTACACATGTATGCTGTGGTAGCTGTGGTCTGTGGTTGTATCAGGAAGAGCGTTCAGCATAAAAAAAAATCTTTACGCATGTTTGCTGTGGTGACCTCTGAGGAAGGGAGCAGCCAAAAAAAATTAAGAAGATGTTCATTTTTATTTTTACACAGCAACTATTTAAAAATTAAACATTTCTATTTTTTTTAAATAACCTTTTTTAAATTTTACTTTTTTTGCTAAGTCTCTTTCCAAAACAAACAAAAAAAGTATTAAAACGTATTTGTATGCCCATCTGATATGTGCGTTGGAACTAAAAAACATATTTCTGTTTTAAATCTGCAACCACCTACTTCCAGTTCTCATGGTGGGATGGATTAACAAATTCATCTACTTTTTGTTCCCCATCAACCATTTAAATAAAATGATGTAATGAACCAAAAAAATACAAAAAAAAGGTTGTAAAATTAATTTTTAAAATAAAACAGCTGTGGAAGCTTTCTTATTAGTCTAACCTCCATAACATCAGTGTTCCTGATGTGAAGAGCATCTGTTCCTCCACAGTACAGATACTGCATCACCAGCTGGAGAGATATGGACAGTTACACAAACATTTTACAAACATATGTTTAGACAACAGTTCCAACCAGATGCTTCCATGCTGTTTATGTGCATTACCTGAAAGATGTGATATTTGACATTGCTGATTTCAATGCACGTGTTTTCACCACAAGGCCTGTTTGCCAGAAGAGATTTGAATCTTGAGGGTAAAAAAAAAAAAAGTCATTGTCATCACTTTTTAGCAACACACCAATACAAAATGTAATTTTCTGATAACGTATTAAAATAAGCATGTGCCTTCAGAAAGTTTTTTTTTTTTTTTTGTATTTTATTTTGATCTGATAGCACAAAAGACACACTATGAACTTTCTATGCAAGCCATTTGATTGTTGATGCTTGAAGTACCTGTTAGAAGCGGTGAAGAGCAGGACTTTGTGGGCGTAGAAAGGCTTACCCTCCACCAAAAAGGTCACATCAGACATCTCTTTATTGTTCAGGAATTGGGGGTCTGAATCATACGTGAAAAGCTCGATAAATTTTTTTTAATGCTTATTTGAAAATCACAAATATTCAACCATAATCCAAACTTTAACATTTGATCCTGCTACTTAGTTGAAGTTCTTCAACTTAGATTGTCTGTTCATGTCTGTGAACACTAGATGGCGTCATAAACACTTGCTCCCAATAAAATTAAGGGTTTAAAAGTAAGAAATGACTCAACAATATAAACTGAAAAACTATAGAAATAAAGCTTTAATGATTTTTTTTAAATTTTGTACTTTAAAACTATCATAATAAAGATCCAAGGTCTCACCCAGGCGTGACGACTGCTTCCTCTTTATCTCCGACAGTTTGGGGATGGGGTATGGACCGTAGCACTGCGTGAAGATGGCAGACAGCTGCTGACTGATCACTTCATTCTGACCACACACAAACAGAGTTACAAAGGAGGTGAGCCGTGCGCGATGCTGCACAGAGAGGTCAAACTTCAGCAACGTTCACTTTGTTCAATAAGCTTTTCCATTAAGCCTCGCAGTAATAGGTATGTCAGATGTTTGAAAGGAGATCGAAGAATATTACGCTTATTTCTTACAGCCACATTTCCTTAGAGACCACTGTAATGGAAAACAGAACGACAGCTCAATCAACTGAAGGAGTGCGAGAACAAAGAAAAGGAACACAGTGAAATACCTTCGTACTTTTTTCTCCCATCCAATTTTTCATGCATGTGCATGTGTGTTTGCAGGCAGTGGTTAGCTAGACTACAAGCCTCACATGTGCAATCAGGCTGCAAGCTCTCACTGAAGTGTGACAGGTACAAACATCTATTAACAGCTTCATAATCGGCCAGGAACAAACACAGTGTGCACATGTGCTGGTGTTGTTACATTCTGCAGACCATGCTCTTTGGGATCCATGTGAATTCCAGGATGCAAGTTTTGCAGAATCAGAAGATGAGCAGTGTTACTCATCTTCCCTGCTCATAATGTTATGGCTGATCCATGCAAATTTAATATAGACAGCCAAGCTAGACAGTAAGCTTTATTACTGAAAAATAATTCTAATAAAATTAGAGGCAACAAAAAATAATAGCAATGTATCAGACAGCTTGACCATTTTAAGTAATTGGTATGTGATCCAGTCGGCCTCAGCGAAGCTAGAAGATTGTCAAGGGTTTAAGAAACTGAGTAAATATGTGTGTGAGAAATGAAATATGTCTGAAGAAGTAAATATGTTTCATATGAAGTTCAAGTTCAAGTAGGTTTATTGTATCACATGTGGTACATGAGGTGGAACAAAATTGTGTACTTGGGGTCCCAGTTACACCCTAACAATAGCAAAAATATAAAGTGTAAAAAGAAACAGTATACAAGGATCTAAGATATACGAACACAAAACGGCACGCTAAAAGATCTAAAATATACACTAAGCATTAATAATGTAAAATAATACGGCACAACAACAGCAGCCCAAACATGAGATCATAAAGAGATCATTGAAGATCATAAAGCTGTATTTTCACAGTTGTATTTTGTACCAAGACAGCAGAAAAAGCTGGAACACAAAGGGATTTGAGGTGACATGCAGAGTGAAGTACCTTGCTGGCCCTGAGGACCTGGAACATCAGAGGCAGGCCATGCGTGATGAGCTCCTCTGTGTACTCTTCTTCATCAATGCAGCTGAACTCTTTCAGGAGACCCTGGATCAGAGGTCGGCGGTGCTGATGGAAACATGTACGCAGAGACTCCAGCCAAGTGTGCAAAGTCCACGGGACTCCTGGGAGATCGTTCCACACATATACACATAAAAATATAGCAAAAAAAGGTTGTACGCCATACACTGCAAATAAAATGCTTGAGGCGTTAACAAAAACCCACCCAGGCTCCGTATATCTATGGTGATGTCAACATGTCCATGCTCAGAGCTGTGGTACATGGCTTCTTTAAGGGCTTTAAGTTTGGCCTTTCCAGTACGGATCAAGTCAATCTGAGAAGAACTTCCGCCTTCCAGCTCCGAACCTTCTGCCAGAATCTCTTCCAAGGACAAAACATCCCCTTTGCCTTTCTCTGTATGGGATAGCAGCTTACGAAATACATTTCTATAGGTACACAAGCACAAAAATAGACAATAAGTTTTTAATTTATTGTTCTGCATAGAACAAATGAAATTAGTCTTTACTGAAGAGTTTGTCTAATCTTTAATATCAAAACTGATGCAAAGCAATAAAGAAAATGGATGCATCTGGAGGCTATACATGTCTGTTGCTGAGTTATAGTCATTACTGTGAGAGACCGCTGGCTGTCTGATGATAAGTGTTGTGTGGCTACAATCTTGTTTCCTAAAAGGCTGTAAAGGGCCAAGAAAAATTAGTAGCTGTCAGACAATGTTGCAGAAATGCATTCATTCAAAATGATTAATGTGTTGAAAACTGATGTTAAAAGCTCCCATCTTTGTTTATTTGTAAAACTACAGGCTGTAAAGACGGCCGGCAACATCTACAAAATATGGTTCAACACTAAATTGCAGAAAAAAACAAAACATTGTCATGTTAAATGGACATTCCATGAATTTTGAATGTTTTATGTTAAATATTTGACTACTCAAAGTCTTTCATATTTTAGACAGATAGGTCATTGTGGAGAGGCAGGGAGGCTTCAGCCAAGCTAACTGGTGTTCAGAATTAGATGAGGAGGAAAATGAACATTTTCAACCTTTAATAACTAGGTTTTCATCATGAGTGAAGAATTAAACATGTTTTAGATCACATTACTAATGCATCAGAAGACAGTTAGCAGCAGACAAAATATATATCATGTGCAAAGCACCATATGCAATGGTAGTTTAAAAAAGTATGAATTACATAAACAGATGCATAACTTATGTTTAAAAAACACACTAGAAAAGTTGGAATTATTTTTAATTTAATTTGTTTACAAACCACCATATATGTGTAGAGTTTTCTTTGTTTAAGGTTTAAATGATGGCAATAAAAAGCAATTGCATTGCAAAATTCAGTTGCATCACAGAAACATGTTTTAATGGGCAAATTTTAAATCATTTAAATCAAATCATTTAAAAATAAACAGCACCAAAGCTAAGCAAGCAAAAAATGCAACACATAGTTAAACATATATAATAAAATTTTGTGGTGAATGTGTTTATGTACTTTGTTATGAATAGTGACAAAGTCTGGAGTATTTGAAGGAAACCAAAAGGAAATGTAACAAAACCCGAAGAAACACAAAATGAGACATCCTGATGCATGTTTACTAATCCAGGTAGAAAAATCTAAGAAAATAAAGACAGGTCTTCTGGACAGATTCTTCTTTGTTGAAATGTTTTGTCTTTTATCCAAAAGAGGAGCTTCAATAAACTCAGTCTTATAAATAGCACCTTCTCATAGTGGATCAATCAGTTTGCTGGTGACAGCCAAAACCAGCTGTTCACATGCAAAAGGAGGACCATCAGCCTAACGACCAATCATTAGTGATCTGGTGGCCACTTGTTATTCGCAGAGGGCTGAGTGATAATAACAATAACAGCATTGTAAGAGGGGGACAGTTGAACACGGAGGCCTCCGCCCCTGTTTAAAGATGGGTGGTTTCTTTTCACAAAGATGGCTTCCTTCACTCCTCTCTCAAACCATCGTTCCTCTCTATCAAAGATGTGCACATCTTTATCCCTGAAAGAATGACTGCTGGCTTGCAGTGGGTAAGGAGTGATTATTATTATCATTTCATATTGGCTAGTGATTTTCTTTTTTCTAAAAGTTAACTTAGGCTACATTATGTTTCTTAGACTGTGGCTAGGATGCATGAGAGAAGCAGATGTTCTATTCACACAAGGAGAGCTGTTGGTCAGGCTACTTCTTGTTTGCCATTAATTCTGAAATAGTTATTGAATCAAGTGTTACTTATGTAGGTAAAACTAGATGTTAAACAACCCATTAAAATACACCAGAATATAGGAAATGGTATCTACTTTGTTCAAAATGTTCTGGAGGAGAGGACCCACAGACCCCCCCCCCCCCCCCCTCTCATCAGGGTGTCACTCCCACATAACAAATGGTTCTGATGACAATGGCTGTCATGCTATTCCAAGAGCCATTGTCAGCACTGGGGGCTAATCTCCCCTAAAAGTACATATTCTAGAATTGCACCCTGATGTAAGATTATACCGTAATTACATGATTTTAATAATAATAGGTTGTGATCTAAAGCAGGCTAGTCTGAGGCATGAAACTCCAGGGCTGAAAATGAGTCCCACTCCAGCCCTGCGTGCAGATGAGTGTAGACCGCACAGTCCTGGCCTGATGATGTTGCTCTCCTGTGCTGGTCCATCCTTTTGGCCAGTGGCTGTTTAGTTTCTTTGATGTAAGACTGATCACAGCCCTCCTGTCAATATTACTCTGTGCCAGGGGACTGGATCTTTGGGATGGATCAGTCTTTGCCGTAATGTTTTTGAGGTTTAAAAGCCACTGGGACGTTGTGTATAGAAAATAAATGTCTCAGTTTCTCTGAAACTCCCGTAACGTACAGAATGACCACTCTTCACAGACTGGGGAAGTCTTTTTAATAAAAGACGAAATGTTTTAACAAGAAGAATCTGTCCAGAGGACCTGACTTAACTTTGTTAGACTAAATGAGACACTTGTATGTTTGCTGACATTTAAGCTGGTTGTGCAAGTTTTAATGTCAACTTCTTACTAAAATATACTGAAACGGAATAACAGCAGGGGTTCAGTCATGAAGTAAGCAAAACACAAAACAATTCATTCAATGAGATATAAGTATTGTGTACATGCTCCCTTCAAACTATAATTGTGCAGTAATATAAAAACATTTGTAAAACAAAGTTTACCTTTAGGAACCTTGCTTTTTATTCCTCTTAATTCACTGTAAAATGTGTTGACTGTATAAAAAAAACATGTGTATGAAATCTACCTGTGTCCATGAGCTGCAGCCAGGCTGTAGGAGTTCATGTCTCCCTGTGGAGCAGTGGAAATCCCATTACGATACATGGTTCCCACCATTGGGTCGGCCCCTCGCTCCAGCAGCAAACTCACCAACTCAAAGTTACCTGCACATATAAAAACATGGTTAAGGTTAAAACCAGAAACAGAATGACAACTGCAAGGCACCAATTTCATCATTTTGTCTGCATTTATCTTTATTTCCCAGCCTTTGGAATGAACAACCCTCTGACACGCATGCTCATGCATTCGTCAGATGTTGATAGATGACCTGCTGTTATCAGCCTGACAGTCAATCTGGACAGGAGTCTGAGAGAAGAAGAATCCTGCTGTGTGTTTGTACCTGCAGCAGCAGCCAGCTGAAGTGGCGTCTCTGTGTAGTTCTCCATCCCGTCCTGCAGGGAACCCTCCACGTTGGCTTTGGCATCCAGCAGCAACTGCAGGTGGGAATCCAGATGGGCAAGATGGGAGAGAACAAGAAAGAGCCAGGTCAGTTTACCAGCGAGGCTCAATTAAAGTCTGGTTTAATTATGATTTATCGTGAGCAAATCAACAAATATCTGATTTTTCAACACTGCCTGAACTATTGCTGAATTTATTGAGTAAAGAAAAAATGACTTCCCAGTTTAGCTTCAATTAGTCCTATTGTTTGAAAGTTAGATATGATTTTTCAACTTCTCAAATACAGATTGCATATTTGCATCACATTGGCTGGAAAATATTTTTTCTTTATATGTGATCATGAAGCTCTATATTTGGAAATTACCTTTCATAACTGAGAAGGGCAATTTCCTGAAGCTAATATTGTTTAATAGGGTGACAAATGGCTTGCATTTAAATTAATATCGTTAACAACTATGAATGCAATTATTAATAATCACTGTCTAATGCTAGATTTTTCTCTGAATATAACCTTTGTATTCCAGTTTCTTTTATTTTATGCCCTCAGCGAGCCAAATACTTTACCACGAGGCTTAAACATTTTCCATTCCAGTATATTGATCCAGTATCGAGGGGCAAACTAAAATAGATAACCAACTTCAATACTAATTAGGCTGCTGTGTTTCCACTTTCTACTTTCTAAATGCAGTTTAATCCATTTTTTTTTATGTCAAACGTTACAAGAGGAACTGAAAAAAAATGTTTGTTTATGTAAAAAACAGTTGTAAGTGACACCAAAAACATTCTGGTAGTTTTAGAAAAGAAAGCAGTGGGAGGAATCTCTGAGATGATCAGATGGCAGAAATGACAGCGATGACCAACCATGAGCTGAAGCACAACAACAGGTCACGATGAGAGAGTCACAGGTGAGCACTGATGTCACTACCTGCACCACAGGCACATGTCCGTGCAACACGGCGAAAGTGAGGGGTGTCGACTGCCGCGTTTCAGGAAAGATTGAGGGATGCTTGTGAACTGTGTTTGGCACCTGGGAAGGAGGACACAGATGGGTGGGATGGACAGGTAGAGGGGAGAAGGATGAAGGAGAGAGATACCAAGCCATTAAAACTACTACATGGACAACGGGACACAAGACAAGCAGCTGCAGGGAGGACAGAGGGAGGAGGACAGGAAGCTCTACATGAGAGTGAATCACCAAGAACCCTGCGGCAGGAGAGGACATCCTGCCTCCCCCTTCATTCAACGTCTAATGAACAAAATGGATTGATGTGTTTTGTTAGGCCTTGTTTTAATAGTTTCACTCGGATCCCTTGTGTGTTTTTGTGAGGGGGCACTGACCCAACAACTCTAAGGTTCATCTCTCTGATAAGACAGATCAAATGAACACATGAATAAAACAATTTGGTAACAATTGATAATGGTTAAAAACAACAGTGCAATATTTTTACTTAAATGAAATGGAAAAACAATATAGAACATGCATTTTAGATGAAACACACCAGTAATGTAAAACAGTGATAAAGTGATTATAAAGTCCACTTGTCAGAAAATTCAAACAAAGAATAATCTTTTCTGTTAGTATTTTTTATGCTCCCAATTACTAAATCACAAAAGCTGTTTTTAGATGAGTAATAACGTTTTTTTTTTTACATAATTCATCTGAGTTATGTAAATATACAAAAATGTCAGCTCAAATGACGTTATTTCAAGTGGTCTGTTTTGACTTATCAGCACATTCATAAAACTAACATTTGACTACTAAAGTGCTGAACAATAAGTAAAATACAGAAAATAAACACAACGTAACTTAACGCAACGTAATATAACGCGACGCAGAGTAACGCGACGCAGAGTAACGCGACGCAGAGTAACGCGATGTCGCGTCAACAACAACAGTGTTAAGTTATGTTGTGTTACGTTGTGTTACGTTGTGTTACGTTGTGTTACGTTGTGT